ATTTGTCAGCTGAGAGAGAAAAAACATCAGCCCAAGGACCATCACGAAGAAAATCACGAAAGGAATCCCAGTCAGCTTTAGGGTAGTAGTAGGTGGTGCGATGATAAGGTGAGCCCAAAAAAGAAGTACCAGAAGAAAGATTTATAGAGATCATTGCATGATCAGAACCACCTAAGGGAGAAAAGGGAGAAACTGAACATAAGCTTGGGTCAGAGACAAGACATAAGTTAAGGAGTGAAGGTAAATGATTAGGGTTGTCAGGAAAACGAGTCACAAAGTTAACTATCTGAGTAAGAGATTGAGAAATGCAGAAGTTAAAGGCTTTAGTGCCAGCAGGATCAGTGGTGTTAGAGCCAAGCCATTCAGTGTGATGGACATAAAAATCACCAACAACAACAATATTGGCAGAGGGGTAAAGAGAGAGGGCATGGTTTATTTGATCAGAGATAACATCTAAAAGAGTGCAATCATGGGAAGAAGGAGAACGATAAAGAACAAAGAGAAAGGTGATAGAGTGAAGAGGTGCTAGGCGAAAGCACATAAAAGAATGGTCAAAGGATTCGAACTTGATTTCACGACAAATAGGGGAATTAATGCGTATGTATACCCCTAAACCTAGCATTTGAGTCTTTACGAATCAAAGGATAGTAGCCATCAACACTTACATCTGAAGAAGGAATTGCATAATTTAAATTTGTTTCACAGGAGGTAAGACTCAACTGATGGAAAGTTGCTTCGTAGACCGCGAATATTTGTAAAAGATATATTAAAATATTTAGGTGGTGGGGATGGTTTTTTAGGTTTTAAATTTTTGGTTACTTTGGTCATGATTTGGGTTTAATGAGAACTTGACTCATTCATAGGTAGAGCACAGCCTTCTAATCAATGAGCTATGCAGTTTTCTCAGTCATGTTAATTAACCCTAAGCCGTGACATAGGGCTCCTTATGTGGCCTTGACAATGCACACCAAAAGCATTAACAGGGACACCATCCATGTGCAACATGGCACTGTTAATACTCTGATATTTTGCAGCTGTTGATGGAATCAGCCTCTCTGAGAGCTACCACAGAGATCGGGAAACCTTACTACCAGCCGGCCTCAGAACCATTAAACTGAGTTTTAGAGCTGTACCTTATATGGAGATAACAGGAAGAGGTGCATAGCCATTATCAAGGAGGCATAAGCAAAATTCTATGAGTAGAGTCAAGGAGATCCAGCATTCATCATCCTAGGCAGGAAACAATGTAACACAGGTTACATCTACGCCAGCCTAATAGATGAAGAAGGGGTTCGAGGCTGGTTAGCATAATTTTTCTGCTTACCCCTTAAGTCTTTGCCTAGGAGGCCTTCTACAAGACAGTAGCTGGATGCAGTTAACATCTGCCCAAGATGAGTATTTTTATAGAGACACCATCTCTAGCCTTTACTCAACCAAGATCCCCAAGGCAGGGGAATTTTTAGTCGGAGTTTATTTCTCCTAGCCTTTGCACAAGAAGAGCACACTCTGCAAGGCAGCAGGGCTTGTGGTAGGTGGTACTGGCTTACGTGATACCAGTAGCAAGATTGATCTCGATTATCCTGACCTGACCTGGAGTAGTTAAAAGGAGTTACTTCCCGCAACAGTACTTTGAGAAAACCAGGCATGACATTTTGGAAGTGCATTAGGAAAAACACAGCATCTAACAAAATACAGGAGTCTAAGGTGAGTGTAGGTTTTGTAGTTGGAGTAAGTAGTTAGTTACTGAGCTCACGCTGCATTAAAGTATAAACAGAACACAAACAAACATAAATCAACTTACGGGTGAGTCAACACCGCGCCAGAGGTTCAGACAGAACACAAACATACATAAAAAACATAAATTAATGAAACTTAATTGAAAATGAATAAACTTAAATGAAAATTAATAAACTTAATGATACTTAATTGCTGTTACTAAGTACTAATATTTTTTGAAAGATCCTTTTAATTTTGAAATATTTTAAAAAGAAACTAAAAACAGATATTTTTTTACATATATTTATTTTAAAATTTAACTTACAATAACATGATTTTTGAATTGTTTTTGTAATATTTTGACTTTTCATCTTGTTCTCAATTTATTTTCCACATGTGAATAATTTTGAGCAATGTAGACCAGCTTCTCAACATTAGTTGTGTTTAGATTTGATCTTGTCCAAGTGATAACTTGACCAGCTCCAAAAAAGCTCTATCCGATGACGCTGATGATCCAGGAATGGTAAATATTTTCCTGACAATAGTAGCTAGCTTTGGATATTCACTTACCATGCCCTTCCACCATGGTAAAGGATCAGTTCTTAAACTTGCCATAGGAGCTGCCAAAAAATGTTCAAGCTCCACATCTATGTCTATTGTCTTTTTGGTCATAGTTCTTGCACAAGTATCTGACTGATTCATAGTTTACAATACTTGAACAGAGAAGTCATCCGATTCTTGACTTGGTGGTGAGTCAAGAAGAGAAGTTGAACTAACTACCTTAGCTTGGTCATTGTTGATGGTTGCTAATTCATCAATGCATTTAATGCAGTCTTTCGTGTGAGCAAATTTTTTTTTTAGATTACCTTTGTACTACCTTTGTGTCTACCTTTGTGTCTACCTTTTTAGCACGGGTCAAGCATTTGAGCAATTGAATATGTGGAATCTTCTATACCATCTTCTGGATAGTAATTCATGATATTTTCATCAATAGCACTTCCAAACTGCCTGATTTACTCCTAATTTTTTTTATCTTAAAGTGGAATTGTGGCATAGCTGTGAAGATTGTAGATTCCTGGGATGATCAGGTGAACTGTAGAAATTTTGTCAGCAGAAATTTTGACTGAAAAGTCATAAAATTTTGAAGAACTGATAAGATTTCTTTAATACTTTTAAATGGGTGTTGTTTGGAACTTAATCCTCAATTGTGTGTCCTTCTCCCACTTAGGCCTTTAACGCTTCTTTGATATCTAGAAGGCCTTTAACGTTTCTTTGATATCTGACTTAACACTCATAAACTGACTGTTCCATCTTGTCTTGCATGATTAGATAAGTTTTTTGAAGTTAATTTTTAGGTCAAGTCTTTTTTACTTTGGTATACGATAGATTACTTTGATGGAGGTGAGCTGCTAAGTCACAACATTTTTGACAGCCTCTTTGATAAGGTCAATTTTGTCAATGGTCTTTGTGACAATTAAGTGCAAATTGTGGTCAGCATAGTGAATCTCTGTTTGCAATTCTAGGCTTTTTGCAACAGCTAAGATGGTATTTGAACCTCTGTCATTGACGCACCGCCTGTGTGTTAGCTCCTTGGGAAAAAAGTTGAGACCTTCAATTAGGGTATCCTTTCCTCTCTGAAGGGCCCCATTCCAACAAGAAATGATTTGAGCTGAAAGTCTATTGAGATGTATGACATGTCAAAGCACTGTAAGAGTCATTATTTCTGCTTGTCCATATGTCTGTACTAAATGCTACAGCTGTGAGAGATCTTTGCTGAAATCATCTGTGATTTTTTTACTTTGCAATATAATTCAGGTAGATACTTCCAATAATAATTTGTAGAGTCTTTGATTGTGAGTTTCGAGTCAATTGATTTAATAAATCTAACTAAGTCATCCGTGGATACTAGATTAAATGGAGTGTTGATTGTGCACAACATGACAATAAGATTGTAGTCAAATTTAATTTGTTTAGAGTTTGAGGCATCATAGGGTTTGGCTTGAAATGTTCCGTTGATTAAGGGTTTTCTGGCGAGACCAGAAGTTTTTGCTTTTTTACCTTGCTTAGCCAATTCTTTTGCAGCTCTTTTTTTGTTTACATTAAATTGTGTGTTAATAACTTGATGTTTCCCTTTAAGATGCATATGAAGAGTAGAACTTGTTGAGCGCTGTGGTGTATTGAATGCATTGTAAAAATCCTTGCAAGCAGCTTTACTCTTCAAGTGTGTTTTTGTCAAAGTAGTGCCAAATTGGACTTACTTTAGGCATTTTGACACAAATTAAGTAATGTAACCAAAATTCTTTAAAATATTTATTTTCCTAAACAATCATCACATTAAAAATAAGTAAATTAAGTCATACTATGCCATAAATAATTATTTATACTAATAATTATATTTTATTATAAAAAATTATATTTTTTAATTTAATTGTTAAAAGGCGCTTTTTTTCATTTTTACCCATGCGGGTACAAAACTCCTCGACAGCCAATTAACAATGATAAACTATGATTATAAGAAATGATACAAAACGTTAACAAATTATGCATAAATAAAAGTGACGATGAAATAATAAGTAACAAAAGTAAAAAAAAAAGGAATGGTAACAATAAAAAGCAAATAAAAATAATATTTCACATGTTTTCCATAAACAGTAAGATTCACTTAAACAAAGATATGATCAATTGAGAGAAACCAAGTATTTATTTCTAATAAAACAATATAAAAACAAAAACTAATAAATATCCTTTATTTAAATATGTATTTTAATAAGATTTTTTGAATGTATTTTAATAAATGTCTTATAAAAAATGTTCATTGTTTTCTTTCGTATTTTTAGTTTTCAAAATTTTTACATTTTAATGGCTTTTATGTGCGTTTTCAAGGAAATTCTTTTGTACGAGAATAAGGCCCAAATGGAATTATTTGGGCACAAATCATTAATAATTTCTACAGAGAATTATACAAAGTTCTATTAATGTGCTAAGTGATTGTCTAAAGGCAATATTTTTGTAGCAATTATTAAAAAAACAAAGTAGCAAAAACAAGTTTTTTAACTTTAAACCGGCTTTTAGATTTTTAACAAATAGTGGAACAAATAGTACTTGTTGAACAAAGTTTTATGGAGACCGAATATTCGGTCAACTTCGTATTTGAAGTTTAACGATTGTTTGGTATTTATGTTTGGTACCCTGTATTGATTACCAAAAATTTAGCAGACGAGATTAAAACAGTGAAACAAAACTTTGAGCTTAATCTGGTAAAAAGAACCATCAAGAATCCAAAGCTTCTCTACAGCTACATGAACAATCAACAAGCAGTCAAAGATACTATAAAAGCATTACAGGGAGCAAATGGTAAAACCACTCAAAATTCAAAAGATATTGCTGACATCTTAAACAAAATTTTTCAAGCTGCATTTGTGAAAGAAGATGATGGTTTACTGCCTTCTTTTGATTTAAGAATTACTGAAACATTCATTATGACAAATGAAGATTTTACATATGAACATCTTCGCTTCCAACAAGGCTGCAAGCAACTACTAATTAGTGTTGGAAGTTACTGGAAAAGAAAATAAAGATTGTAGAGCAAGATAACGATTGACAAGCGACTTAAAAGATTGCAAATTATATGAGTCAGAAAAGCAAGATGGAGGAAGTGAATTCCAAAAAACTGATGTTCGAGGGAAAAACTAGACGAATAAGAGTTTTTGGAGCACTTAGGAACAGTAACAGAAAAAGGATAGGACTTAGTTGAATGACGAGTAACATCAGAATGAACTTTAGTAGATGACACAAGAGACGCTAGCTCTTTAGAGCAGTGCCCATTATAGTACTTGTAGAAAAGAGAAAGAGAAGCAACATTACGACAATACTATATATATATATTTTCTATAATGCTGACGCAAAAGCCGACCTATCTTTGCTTTAGGACGGCATACAACTGCTGACCTGAATATTCTAAAGTGTCGGCATGCAAATTGAAATACTTTAAATAAAAAATTATAAAATAGTATTAATATAAAACTTTTATTTTTTGCTTTTCAAGTTTGAAATATTTTATTAAAATAAAAATTTATTCATTTTTTTTCAATTCTTTTTAATCTTTTTGTCTCAAATTTATTCAACATAGCAAGGTTAAAAAAAATTACTTTTTAAATGCATGTTGTTCTCACGCTTTTTTAAGCGCAATTAAGTTATAAAATATAATTTACATGTTTACGGTTTTTTAAATATTATTTAAGATCAGCAAAGTCTATTAGGAAAGTTTAACCCTAACCCTGATGTTAAACACATTTTTTTAATTTAATAGAAGTTAAAGCTCCCATTAAATCGCAACAGTAATACAGTAAGCAAGCTTAAAACAAGATATAATGCTAAACAGAACTGTCACTGAAAAATGGGGGTTTAAATCCTGCGGATTTCAAACTAAGGATTCAGGTGAAGTAGTTTTAATATGGCGTAAAACTTGCCGAGATTATTTAGAGCTTTTAAAAAATTGTTTTAATAAAAATAAAGGCTGTCCTAAATTAGCAACAGAAGTGTTTGTACAAGGAACATCAATTATAAAAAAAAATAACTTGATGACGATTGGACAGAAAATTTGATGAGTAAATTATAAAATACATCAATAAGACAATCGCCGTTTTAAACAATATCTTCGCCTTCAGCACATAAACTAAATTTGTATTTCTAAAGAATGTTCTTTCTATGAGCAATCTAAAAGACCAATTAAAATGTAATAAATAAACTATGACCATTTTTTTTTTGTAAAAAAATAACAAGTTTAAAACTAAAAAATATTGTTAATTAATTATAATAATAATTCATAAATATGCTATATACTCAATTTACTACACAAAATTTAAATGCTACATTCTTTAAAATATTATTGTCTGAAGCTATGCTGTTATAAGCAATCTTTTCATAATTAATTAATCATTACCCCTATCGTAACAGAAAGTAAAAAATCTAATTTTTTTTTTGCCAACGTGACGTCCGCTAAGCTCAGCATGCTTGTGCCAACCTTCGAATTTCGCTGACTGTATATATATATTTTTGAAGACATATGTCTTTAAAGTTGGCATTGTGCCAAAACCAAAGGGCTTTGTGGTTGTATAAAGTATCTAAGGGAGATTAGGGGGAGGAGGGATCTGCAAAAAACATACAATAATGTAATGGATAAGTGGTATGATCAACTTTAAAAAATGCAAGCTCTAATATAAAAATTTTATCTAAGTTTATAAAATATTTTGTAAATAAAAATGTAACAATTAAAAAAAAAAGAAGGATGGGGGGGGGTAATTTAAAAAGGTAGCATACTCTTTAAGGAGGAGAGAATTAAAAGTGGGCATGGCAGCAGGGGAGATAGGGGGGCCAAATTTTTAGATTTTTGGTGCATGTTTTTTATGGAGGATCCCTAAAACTTACTTTCTTATATGAAGGTGCAAAATTTTGTTCCTAAATCTGTGTTTAGGTAAGATTTAAAACTACTTGTTTAGTTATTTTTTAGTTTTCTCTCATGGAATTTAGTTTTTTATGGGTTTAAAAGTTTTTTAAAAGAACAAAAAATGCACAGTTAAATCATGAGAAAATGCTTTCCACCACTTTTGAACAAGGTCTTTATTATACCTTAAGGTTGTTTTTTTTAATATATTTTTTTTTGTGATAATTTTATTGTATTTTATTTTATGCCTATTGACAGTCTGAGCTAACCAGACTGAAATATTACATAAATAAATTAAAAAATTAGCCAGTACCCAGTCTTGTTTTATTTAAATATCATATTAATTACCGTGTACAACAATGAATGCCATTAAAACAACGTTATGTTGTATTTATGAGTAATTTTTATTTTAATTTTATAAAAGTTTATGTAAAAGGTGAAGTCTGCAACTGCAATAATCTGAAATTCTAAAAATCGAACTGCGACAAAGTTTGAAATATAATATTCTTTATCAAAATACTTAAATAGATTGTAGATTTTTTATTTTCGGTAAATTTTTGAGATATATAATCAGTTTTGTTACTTGACTATCAAATTTCATTGCTTAAAATAACAAGCACCCTAAAAATAAGAAAACAAAAATAGTAAATAAATTATGCAACAAATTAGTAAAAAATTTTAACTATGGTGTATGGTTCATACCACATATTATTTATTTTTTACATAAAATAGCATACTAAATACTTCACATTAGTCTTTATTTATTCATGGGAAGGCTTGCGTAACAAAATTGTTTTAAATTTCGATTATGATTAAATTTGGATTAAATAACTTTGAAACTTTGATCTTTAACAAAATAAATTAAGTGAAATGATTTAAATTTTTTTGTTGTCAATTTGTCAGAAAAGTTGTGTAATTACATGCATCTCCTGTAAAAGATTGACTATTTTCTTAGGAGAGGATGGATCATTAGCAGCGGATAGAAGTATGCAATTATTTGTTGGTAGTGAATTGTTTACATATAGTTGTTATTTACAGCTGTGAATGTGGATCAGATGTTGATATCAGGTTATATGACCAACTTCGATGAAGATGTTAGTATGAGCATCTGTACTACCTTTTTGGATAGGAATGACTGTTCAGAGCTTTCAGGAGATTGTATTATTTCTTAAATGCAGGGATTAGCACATTGGGCTAAATGTTGTGGTGATACAGTGTTAATTTTGTTGTTTGGATATTTTATATGAACATAGTGAAATATTGCTTAAAAAAAAATATTTTGAATAAAAAGTATTTTTAGAGGTGCCCCTAGATCCTTGAACACCCTAATATATACATAAAAAAAAGTTTTTCAAAAGTTGGTCAATCTGGTACTCAAAAAAAGCGAAATTGTGTAAAAACTTCGAAAACAATAATTGTTTTTTATAAAAATATTTAAAGATTTTTTTCATCAAAACTTTTGACTTTAAACTAAAAATAATAAAAGTGCATTTTTATAAGTTTTTGAAGATATTTAAAAAAATTGTTTTTCAAGACTTTTACATGATTTTGGCATTTTTAAAAATTGTTGTTTTTTGATGCACCCTAATAAATATATAAAATCCTGATTTGCAGTTGATAAAATTATTATTGCTAACGCTGGTATCACTTACAGATATTTTTTTAGTAACACTAGCTATGATGTTTTATTAATAAATATAGATTTTATTTTTGACCAGATCTACAACTGCAGGAAGTGAGCTATTTACTTGCTTATTTCTGTCGCTATATATTTCTGTTGTTGTTCCAAACTTACACTTTGTTAGGTAACCTTATTGCAGGCTTGGTCGGGAAGCGGGTGCGATCGCACTAGATAACTGACCACGGAAATAATATTTAGTTGCAATAAACCAGCCAGATTTTTTAGTCGTTTTGAGAACATTTAAGTTTATGTATGTTTCCTTGTTTCTCTGCAAAATAACAAGTTCATTAATTTATTGTAAATTTTAAAATATTTTGTTTTACGGACATACATGGAAAGGTACCTAAACTCGAATGTTCTCAAATATCTTTGTGCAGAAAAATAAATAAAGAATATTCGCAAACACAAAAAAATCCGCCAAATCTACGAACAACTAATTTTATTGGTTCAAAAAATACTAACCGAATTTTCTAGAGTATTCAAAAAATACTAACTGAATGTTCTAGAGTATTCTATTGAAACATTTTAAAAAGTTGTATTATTTGAGTTTTGATATGTTTTCGTTGAGATTTCTAGCATAAATTGTTTTAAGAATATACTATCAAATGAACTATTTTTAATTCTTGGCGCCACATCTACAGAGCTAAAAATGTTTTAAACTAACATTATTTGTTTACAAAAATAAATGTTTTAAATTTATATTTTTTAACTTGTCAACGTTTTGTAAATATATTATAGGTGTTATTAGTATATTTTTATTTTTTATGTATGTAATGTATTTTAATGTAAGTAATGTATTTTGATCTATTTATTTTTTATTTATGTAGTTTTATGTATGTGTATTTTAATCAAATGTAATCTTTTAAAGCAATTTGTGTGATTGACTTTGTAAACAAAAATACTTTCAATTATAACTGCGTTTTCAATGAAATCATTAATAATCATCAAAGTTAATACAAATAATTTTAACCACTAATCCATTTTCCTCAGTGTACCCGATAACTGATTCTTTCCCCCAAGAAAGAAAAGTTTTTAAGTTCTTAGAAATTGGTTTACTAACTTCAATTATTTTTGCTTCAGCCATTCTTCAGCCATTCTTTCAAACTTGTTATACTTAAACTTAAAGTTACTTTTTTCTGTTTTAAATACTAATTAAAATTATAAAGCCCACTAATTAAACATCATCAGTGGTATTGTGAAACAGTTCCGCTTCCTCCGCACAAAGTAATTTAACGTTTTTAGTTAATTTCTATCTAGCTAATTGAATTTCTACAGTAACTCAATGATTTAATTATTTTCTTTGTTCATCTTACTAAGAAGAATTGTTTCAAATGTGCTAAACTTTTCAAACTACGTCAAGCATAAAACAGTTATTGAAAAAACGTTTTTATTTATAAATAAATCATCTAGCGTTAGTTTTATTGGTTGAATCTTGTTGGACTTTTCAGGGCCGGGGGCTGCATTATTTGGCAGCCTTTTTTATGTTCCACAGCTTAAAAGTGACTAAAAAAAATACTGAATGGTCCTCTTGACTATTTTGCAGCCCCTAACATTGTGAATGCCGGGGCTATAGTCCTTCTATCCCCCCTACCTCCTCAATCCAGCACTGGAAATAAGACATAAGTATATAAATAAAAATTATATATACTCTTTGATAAATCAAAGAACATTTGTTTCCTTATTAAACAAACATTAATAGTATGTTGTTACTTTATATAAAAAATTTCACTTAATTTAAAAAAAAAAAAATTATAAAAAAGCGACATTTCAAAAATATTTGCTTTATTCGTATTTATTTTGCTCAGTTTTTTTGCGTAAAAAGCTATTTTCCTTTTTTAAACTGTCTCTCATTGGTCCAGTTAATCTTATTGCGCTTTTTTATTTGTTTTTGAAATGTTCTCAAAACGTTTAAAAAATCTGGCCGGTTTTTCGCAACTAAATTTTATTTCCGTGGTCAATTATCAAGTGCAATTGCACCTACTTCCTAACCAAGCCTGTATTGCTTTTTTATTATATTTATAACATGGCATAGATTTTTAGGTTTTATCATTATTTTTTCAGACTATGGTTTTTTAATAAGTTCACTTTTTGTTATGACATCTATGGAAAAGCCAGTTACTGTTGCTAGCTGAGACAACTTCTGTAACCAAAGACATAAAAAGATTTTATGTCTTTGGTTACAGTTTATATGTCCTTGGTTACTTTGATATGTTCTTAACTATTTTTAAGTTCTTGCTGTTTAACAAACTTTTTTTGATATTTCCTTGCACATTTCCAATATCCACTCCAGTGTCTTTATATAGAAATTTTTATCTCCAGTTCTTCATATGCATTTTTCTGAAATGCTTTTGATCCACTTAGTAAAACATTCCCTTATTATTAACTATTGACATATTATAACTATCTACATTTTATAACTATTATAAATTGAAAAATATTTATTATTAAATATTAGATATAAACATCACTAAAAAAATATGTATAGTTAAAAATAATCCTCACATAGTAAGATTTTATGTCTTTGGTTACAGTTTATATGTCCTTGGTTACTTTGATATGTTCTTAACTATTTTTATATGTACTTCGTTACTTTTACATGTCCTTGGTTACAGTTTAATACACTCTTTAATTTAGCACAATACACAATTTAGTACAGACTTTAATACAAAAAAATATTTTTTTAAGAATACAATGCAGCTAAATGTTTTATTTTTTATATTTTTTTAACTTATATAAAACCAAACATTTTTATTTTTGCAAGGTGTTTTAACCCTTATTTTATAACAAAAAGTAAAAAAGTAAAAAATTGCATGGAACATTAAAACATTTCATTTTCTAAAAGTTTTAAATAGAAATTTTTTTTAACAAGTAAACTTGTTAAAAAAACTTGTGTTATTTAAGATAAAAGATATATAAAAGTCCATCCTATTGTCACTTTGACTCCCAGGATTGCTGAAAAACTGGATCCTGTTTGAGAATTAGTTCTAAAGAGTATTCAAAACTTTTGAAACAAATATTGTCTGATTAACAATCTTTGAGTAGTGAGAAACTTTTTTGGATGTCTAAGAGTAGATTAATTTGTTTCTATGGGATTTGTGGTCATTAAATTCAAGAGATAAATAAAAGAAAATTTGCAAATAGCTCTGCTCCTTGGTAGAGGTAAAAAGATCTAACAAATTTATGTGAGAAAGATTGTTAGACTTTCATTAGTGGCGTCGTTGGAGTCTAAAAAAGAGTCTAAAAAAACTTCTGGGACAATCTGAGAGTAATAACTTTAATAAGATCAAAAGATGTCTTCTGTTCTCAAGAGAGTTGTTCTAATTTACAATCAATAAATATAATTAAATTTTGAAAAAATAAAAATTAAATTTTGAAAAAATAAAAAGGTTATAAAATAACAAAAATCCCCATTAAAAATAAATTAAAAACAGAAATAAACAATTTTTAAGAAATTTTTTTATAATTGTGTTAATATATTCCACAATTTTGTGCAGTTCAACTAATATGTGAAATTGTTTTTTATCATGCTTACCATTTTCTTACTGCTGATTTCATTCTCTACCTCCACAAATCTCTTGTTTGCTCCTGTATAGAATGCTTTTGTCATATTTGGGGTGGTTCTTCTAATCATGCTCTTTCTCTTCTAGACAAGATCCAAAAATGCATTGTAAACATAGTTAGACCTGCTCTATCTGCTAAGCTTGAGTGTCTTTACCATTATCATAAAGTTGTATCTTTTTCTCTTTTCCACAAATACTATCATGGTTATTGCTTAAAGGTGCTATCATCTCTAGTTATCTCTCTCTCTCTCTCTCTCTCTCTCTCTATATATATATATATATATATATATATATATATATAATATACAATATATATATAATATACAATATATATATAATATACAATATATATATATATATATATATATATATATATATATATATATATATATATATATATATATATATATAATATATAACATATATATGGCTAATAATATATATATATATATATATATATATATATATATATATATATATATATATATTATATATATATATAAAATATATATATTATATATATATATATATATATATATATATATATATATATATATATATTTATAAAATAAATGTAATCATTATTTAATATTAGATTCAGAAGATTCATTGGAAACTGATTCTGATCTACCAGATATTAATGATTCTGCTGAAGATCTCAGTGATGATTCTCAACATAATAGTGAAGAAAATAATGAAGGAGAGTCTGTTTCTGAAACATCTGAAAATGGTGTGCATTCTGTAAGTAATTCTGTAAAATGTTTTGAGAAAATCTACTTTGATCAGCCATTATAATTTCTTTTTTTTAAGTGTTATATCTTTGATCAAAGTAGATTTTCTCAAATTTATTTTGTGACTTAAGTACTTTTAGTACTTCTTCAATTGCAGAATTTTTTTTAACAATAAATTTGAAGTGCTTTACAATAAAAACTACTTCATGAATTTAAAAAAAAGTTTCCATCCTGGTCTAGAAATTATATTTAATTTGTGAATTACTTAAAGAAAAAGAAAATTAAAAGTATAAAGATATATTTTGTGTAGTTTTTTTGGACCTAAAAAAATTCTAAATTATGTGAAAATACATTTATTTGATTAAAAACAAAATGATTGAAAAAAAAGGCTGCAGGAAACCGCAAATAAAATCAATTGTTTCATAAAAATAAAGAATTTCTGTTTTCATGTATAAAAATTCCACAGTTCGGTTATTCCCGGAAATTAAGTTATTTAAATTTAAATTGTTTGTATGTGTTGATATTTGAGGTTGCATGATTACGAAAATCAATTTTTATGGGCAGTTCAGGAATACCTATTGATAACTTGTGACAAAACGTTGTTAATAAAAAAGGAGAGTTAGAAAGAATTTTACTAACTTCTAGCATTGAATTAAGTTCATTGGAAAAATCAAAGCTAATTTTAAAAGCAATCAAATTGAGATCTAACTTTAGAAGATGGAAAAGAAAACATCAAGAAAATTTTGAAGCTAATTGAAAGACATGTACAAAAATATTTAAAGTTAAAACAAAATAAACTTGTGGCCAAATTAGAAACTTGAATAAAAGAAGCTGGGATAAAACTGCCTGAGAATCCACCTGCAGCAGCATCATCATCCATGGGTGATATAGAAAAAGGGGGAGCTACACAGACTAAAACAAGGACGGAAATCAAAGAGACTAAGGTAAAAATTGAGCTGTTGACATTTATTTGAGTTTCTTAAGTATCATGTAACTTTTTCTTACTTTTAACAAAACATTGTCATTTAATTCATTGATCAACCTGAAAAACATACCTACAACAAAATTTTGAATGATTTTGTGGACATCGTGAAAAAATATGCAAATGATAGGGAGTAGATAGGTCAGAATACTCAAAAGGAGTTGTCTAAAGGTGTGAAAAAAGATAAGGGATGGAGCAAAACCTCTGACAATATCAGTACAGGAAGCAATGGTTTTAATTTACAACTTGGATCTATCTAGAAACAAATATCAGGTAAAATATGCAAAAAAATACTATTAGTTAGATACTCTAAAGAACTATATGTATATATATGTATATATATATATATATATGTGTATATATATATATATATATATATATATATATATGTATATATATATATATATGTATATATATATATATATATATATATATATATATATATATATATATATATATATATATATTATATATATATATATATATATATGCAAAATGTAATATACTATTTAAAATGGTTATCATGTAACTAAAAAGCTACATACACCAGAAAAACAAATAATTTATGACTTCACAAATGGACATATTTCTGGTTGTAGAAATGGGCAATTTACAGATAGGTTTGATAACCATGTATACAATTGTCAACATGCGAATAATTTTATTAAAAAACAATTTTTCCAGCTTTATATATTTCTGGAGCTCAAAAATGAAAAAAATTTAATATCTTATGAAAAACATCTGCACAAGCAAAAACATGGCACTTTTAATTGATATTTCCTATTAAAATCATGGCTAATAAATAGTTACATGTTTTATAGTGCAATAATTATCATTTCATGTATATATATATATATATATATATATATATATATATATATATATATATATATATATTAGGCCGGATCATAAAAATTAAGTTGCTTTGAGAATTTGGGAAAAATGGCATGATATAGCATTGCTTACTATTAGCAAAGAAAAACAAATAAAATTTGACTTTGCATTTTTAGGTTTTTAGGTATATGCATATTATTGCGTGATTATGTAATTGTATAACTATAAAAAATGTTTACTAGTTTTCGATTTACACTTAAATTTGCCTATATTGTGGGACTAATATTTAGTTTATGTGTATTTTGTATGGATTTGTAAATAGTAGTAAGTGTAATAATCTATATCCTTTAGATTATCTAATAACTGAAATTATTTTAATATTTAATTATAAGTCAATCTCAAGCTATATATGCAAACTAACAAACAGCAGATATGTCACACACACAGTGTATGATACGTGGAAAATCCAAACTGTATACTAAATGTTCACTGGATCCTGACTATTGTCCATCGTCACGCCATCTAGCTAATGCAACAGTTTTGAAGCGCAATAGCTATCCAGCTCATATTGAGAGCATTCTTGCTAAGTTGAAAGACAACCGTCAAGTAATTCGTAGATTTGCCCTGAAAAGAATTCTACATGCACGGGAAGATGACATACCAAATCGTAAATTCCAAATCCCTGAAATTAGATTTCAAGCAACAAGCTTTAAAGAGCTGATTGATTGGCAAACTATTCCCCGCTTGAAACCCGTTTTGACAAAACACATTTCTACCACACAAATATTGGCCTGTCAGATGAAGATATTGTTGTTGATATAGAACCATTTCCATGCCACAATCAAAGTGTTGAACGTTTAATTAAAATTGTCACTAAATCTGCATCTAAGAATTATGGTCATGATAGCCGTGATGGCTATATTCACGTTCTTTTGGAGCGCCAAAAATTAATACCGCACTTTGATACTAAGTCTGAATTCAAACAGATTTAACTAAAAATATATAACTATTGTTAGTTTATAATATAAAAATCATGCATTATTAATATAATTTCTTTTTCTAATAGTATTAAGTGTTCAATAAATAAATGATGAAATGATGAAGTGTTCAATAAATAAATGAATATTCATTAAATGATATCTTACAAAATGGCATTTTTAAGTAAATTTTCAAAGACAAAAATGCAAAGTATAACAAATTAGTAGAGAAAAATGGTTTGCAGCAATAGATTCAGTATATTTGAGAACCACTAAATGTATGTTCTCTATGGAATAGATCAAAATTTTTGAAGTTATGATCTGGCCTAATATATATATATATATATATATATATATATATATATATATATATATATATATATATATATATATATATATAGTATATATATATATAGTATATATATATATATATATTAATATATATATATATATATATATATATATATATTATATATTATCTTATATAATTAAATAATATAATATATATATATATTATATATATATATATATATTATATTATTTAATTATATAAGATTTTTTTTATAATTGAAAATAAAAAAAGTAAAAAAAAAAAAAATTAAATTTTATAAACGACAACTTTAAACAGAGGTCTTATTTAAAAACTTTGACATATAAAATTTGCCGAATGGTCACACACGAGCAGTGAACGCCTGAGGGTCAGTATTTATTACTAGTTTATCCCGTCAGACAAACATCATCGCCACTTATGCTTTACTTCGCAACTTATGCCTATTCCATACTGCAGTAAAAAATGACTCACTACATGAGTCGCGGGGTAAAGCACAAGTGGCGATGACATTTGTCTGACGGGAAAAACTAGTTATAATTGCTGATCCTCATCAAAACACCTGTAATAATAGACGCGACTCTGAGGAGATGTTTATTACTTTATCACTACATTTATTATGTTTGCACATTAGCATTTTTTTTTTTTTTTCTATTTTGAGACCTTACATTGTTGTATGCATTTTTTTTGTTTTTGTTTATCAATTTTTTGGTTTTTTAAGTTTTTGTTTGGTTATATATTTGTTGTATATCTTCGTTCAATTTAGATTTTATGAAACAATTTTTTTATTATTATTATTGTGAGTACTGCTTGGGTGCATTGTCTGTCTTATTTGTTTTGAAATTTTCCTCTATTAATCTTTATTTTTGTCTTAACAACTGTCAAAATATGCTTTGTTCGATAAATAATTCTCCTTTATTCTAGTGTACTTCATTTCTTCCCTCAGACATTCACTGCTTGTGTGTGACCATTCGGCGAATTTTATATGCCAAAGTTTTAAAATAATATTGCGCCTTGCCTGTAAGGGTTAGTGTTACGGTCATCGAGCACGACTGTTTTCCAAATCACAATTACTGTCACCGCGAAAGAGGATGTTTGTCTCTGGAAGATGCCTGGGCTAGCTTTTTAGTCATAAGTTAGTTATAAATCCATGCATAGGTGTTTAATCCATCATGGTTTTCTGGAGTATGACTGGGCTGGTTTGGTGTAGTTCAGAGATATATCTTTTATGCTGATTACTAACAACACAAGACTCTACTGAACGACATAAACGGCACAGACTTACACATTACATATCCTTATGCACATACAGACTTTTTACATCGTTTTGCATGCTTTTTGTTTTTTTATTAGATAAACTATCTTTGTTTGAACTCGTCCTTTTTTAGATAATATTTTCTATTATTAGATTATATGTGGTTGTAATGTATATACAGATTTCTATGTTTTGTATATGTGCTTATCGTCTGTGATTGATTTTTTATTAAAGGGTTCATATATAAAAATATATATAAGAGCGATTCTTAAAAACTAACGACTCTTGATATGTTTTGTTGATGTATGACTTTTCATTGTTGGTTTTGTTATGGTCTCAAACAACGTTTAGTTCGGACTGTTAAGAATACTCTACTTTTTGAAATTTCAATTTTGTTAGTTTTAGTTTTATTTCAATTTTGGTCTTATCTTAATTTTGTTAAGGTCTCAAAGTTACTTTGATTCGGACAAAAAAACTTTACCTCTTTAACAAAAAAAATTTTTATCATAAAAATTTTAAATTATTTATTAATTCATTGTTCAGCATGTATTAACTTATATTATAACTGTGTTAATCTCTTTTAGTTTGATTATTCTGCGTCTAAATTTACCATTAAGTTTATTGTTTAATGGTG